GCCGGCCCCCCTGGGGGGGTGGGGGAACCGGGGGGGCAGGAGTCTCGGCTTAGCCTCGGAGAGGCGGGGCTGGAGCTGCCGGCGATGGGGAGGGATCGTGTCAACTAGCTAAAGAGACTCTTCAGATTTATATACCCTGGAAAACGGTTAATAAGTTGATGCCAAATAATACGAGGACACCTTAAATTTCATGTAAAAGCAGAATCATTTTGGCATAAAAGTTAGGTTGTGGGTGGTTTTTTTTTTGGTATCAACCGCAAGTGGTTCTTAACTCATGTACATGTTCCACGAACTTTTTGAAGCTCATCCCTCTTCCCTGGCCAGCCTGAGGAGAAGAAACTTAAAATACTGTAATAACATAATGAAAAGAACCAGGTGTAGATTGAGGCTGCTCTTACGTTTTTGGAAAATAATATAGGACACTAGGTCCTATATTACCTGAGTTAGAAAATTGCAGGCTCACCAGTTTTTAAGACTGGGAAATTTATGAAGATGAAAAGTTCATTCAGCTTTGGTTCTAAGGTGAAGGGGCAGCATCTGATGGTGGGGGCTCTCTGCAAGTTGATCAGGCTGTGCTGGGCAAGAACATCTATCAACTCTGGTCTCTCCTCTTGTAAAGCCACCACTGTTCATGCCCCCCACACCATGACCTTGTCTAATCTTAATTACCTTCCATAGGTCTCACCTCTTCATGTCATTACGAGATTAAATTGCCTTAATACCTTGGTGATGCCAAGCAGTTTTCAATACATGAATTTAGGGGAGGTGTATTCAAACCATAGCTTGCTTTTATTAAGAAACATTTAGTTGAGACCTCCCTTCACATTTGTTGTGGCACTGGTAAATTCTACCTGGGTTCTGGCATGCTTCACTCTGATTTCCTGCTATCCTCTACTGCTTGCTTCTAAATCAAGATAAAGAGCAGGAATACATTGATACCCGATTGGTCTTGATTAGTTGGTGTAATTGAAAAACAGGTGTTAATCCTTGATAATTAGTTTTAGAGACAGTATTGTTTAATACAAAACTTAACAGTAATGACATTTTGTTGGGGATGGAAGTTGGCTAAACTGAAAAGTGAGACAGCATGATACATAAAAATGTTTTGTACAACATTAAGAGATTCATGCAAAATTTAGCAACTTTTTCTGCATAGCAGCTATATTTTACATTCAATATCAAAATAATACGGTGTTTGATATAACTATATCAAGTTTAAGATTTCTTTAACCTTGATATTATTTTTTAATTACAGATGGTTGTGATCTACATTTTAAAATATCAAGACGTCTCCTCAAGAGCTTCTTCCCTTACTGTGGAGAATTTTGCCTTTTTTGGGGGGCAGGATAAGAGCATCTCATGATGTGTCAGAAGGCAAAATGTTTTGAGATGAAGGTAAATACAATTTTGCAGGGTTTGTTTGTTTGCTTTTAGTTTTTCTGTAGGGTGCCTGTGCTCACCACCAGAAACTGATAATGAGAATCACCCCAGGGTGTATGGGAGGGTGTTCACTCCTCAGTCCATTCTCCTCCAGTGTTCTTGGGATTTTGGGTTTGCAGTCATATGCATCTGAAGTGATTTTTCAAGCTGCCAGGTCTGAGACTGGAATCCACGCTTTTGGCTTCTTGGGATCCAGTGTCTTTACCTCCACACTACCTGCTTGCCTACAACTTTTGCCTTTATTTTTTTTTTTTAAAGAGATTTTCGGTATAAGGGCATATGTGTTCACTGGAGAGACAGAGAAAGCAAGAAATCTGTCTCTCCATTCTCCTCAGAATTTTGGGCATGCATACACATGTGCCCTGGGGGATTTTCCTGCTGGGTCCAGGGCTCATACCAGGGTCAGCCACATGGAAGTCCAGCAATGTAATCACTACGCCATCTGCTGCCCGCAGTTTTGCAGTTTTTATAAAGAACCTTTGTGGAATTTGACACTTAAGTGTCAGAGGAACTTTTTGAAGTTTTTATGAATTTGAAGAGGGACCTGGAACCTTTGTTTTGTGAAAGTTAAACAAATTTAGTATATCAGAAATTGCCATATGTGGCCGGCCTATTTATTTATTTTTTTAAATTTACTTTGTTTACTTATCATTATTATTATTTCTCATAAGTTTTTGCCAGAGAAAGACAGGCAGAAAGAGAGGATGAGGGAGCAAGCTGCCAGGTCTGAGATTCAAACCACAGTCAGCCATGTGGGTATTCCAGCGCCTTAACCAGCAAGCCAGCTGGCCCCATGGCCAGCCTATTTTTAATTGAAGGGACTACTTTTTATTAGGCACTTGAAAGGACCACTAAGGAATTAAAAATGAAATTTGTTGGGACTGGCAGATGGCTTAATGGTTCTGTCACTGAACTCTCTCACATAGTCGACTGTGGTTTGAGTACCGGAACTGGTGGCTTAAACTCATGCTGGTGCATGTGCATGCTTGCCCGGGATCCCAAGAGAATGGAGGAGAAGGGAATGTGGTGTTTCTGTCCCCCCTGGGGTTGGTTTCTTGCTTTCTGTCTCTCTTTCTCAGCCTTTCTGGTGAGTGCACACGCCCTATAGCAAAAACCTCTTTCAAAAAGAAAAAGGGTGGACCACCAGGTGGCAAGGTGGTTACAGTGTTGGTATTCCCACATAGCCAACCGCGGTTGAGTCCTGGACCTGGTGGCTTTCTTTCTTTTTTTTTTTTTTTTGCTATAGGGCACGGACGCTTGCCAGACAGACAGAGAGAGACATAGAGACAGAAAGCGAGAAATCACCCCCCAGGGGGAATGGTCACGCCGTAAT